TACTGCTTAATCCACCATTGAGGTATACAACACATATGCTATAAAGCAAAAAGTTATGTCAGAATTTCTGCACGCCTTTTACAACCTCGAGACTAAGATTTTAATCAAAAGTTACCATGTTTTCTATTTAGCAATTAAAAAAATCCCTGGCCAGATTTATTTTTCTTACAAAATGTTACCTTTACAGATTTCTAGCTCTGCACACTGTAGAAAAATGTAGAAATAGAGTTTTGTATATCGTAATAATATTAGTCGTCGCCAGATAGCGCTATAAAGTAGAGAAAAATCTATAAATTTGAAAAGTATAAACATAAATTTAAATTTCTCAAAAAATAAATAAACAAAATTTCAAAAGTCACTACTATTGGCTGACTTGTCTGCGGTCTCCGCTATCTCACTACGTCCCTCTAAAAGTCGCCACGGTTGGAAACACTGGTGAGCAGACATCTAGGGTCTAAATAAGGCAAAATGTAATCGCCAATAACAAGGAAGAAAAAGTTAAGATTTAAAAATATAATTTCTTGTGAACAGCAGCTTGGGCCCCCCTTCCAAGTGGGCCCTATGCGAATGCACCTGTTGCACCTGTCTAGTTATGGCTCTGCTTGTATTTATTTTAGAAAACAAATCTAGTTAATTGCAAGTTAAACAATTTGTTATCAACATAATAATCTGTCTCTATAATGATTATGAACTTATTCAATTGATATTAATAATTATAGACATAGATTATTAACTGTTATTAATTGTTTCTAACTTGAAACAGTTTCAATATTGAGCAGTGTATTTAATCATAACTTTCCTAAAGCCTAAGACACATTCTGGAAAGCCTTTGATTTCAAACTTTTTCTATGATTTCATACTATAATTATAATTACTTCCATGAAAATTATATATATATTGCAATATTATACCATAGGAACATGTAAACAAATTGTCAAAACACTATTATCATTTCACTGATATCATTTAAATTCTTTTTTATAACTGCTTTATTGTAAATATAATAGACCACATTGGAAAAGGATGGTTTGAGAGTCACACATGGTTCTCAAATGTCAGCAGTATGGCTCATTGAACATACCTGATTATCAGTAATTGTGAGTGAAAAGCTTAGATAACATCAAACTAGCCTTTGAAAAATGATGATAATATATTAGAAGAAATAAATCACATAAAATCAACATTTGTTGTGCTTAATATCTTTAAATAGTAATAAAATAAAGTACTAAAATTCTTTTAAATCGTCATCATTTTATAGTCTGTGGAAAAACGGCCACCTTCTCCATCTTGACCTTTGTAAAAAAAAAAGGCAATGAATCCCGTGTGGTGTCATCACTAGCTAGAACGAGTCCAAAGTCCAACTGGCCAGTGAGATGGTTAGCAACAGGTTTTATAACCTTGTCTCGTTCATTTTATCACACTCAGTGACAGAAATAAAACAACAGTAGAAGAGCCGCTACAAGTCTTTGAAAAATTAACTTCTTACTATATCTTAATCCTATTGCATCCTACATAATGAAATATTCAATTATTATACAAGTTATTCAAATAATGCTACAGCATATATTCTTCAAAGTGCATCTGGTCTGGTAGTCTTTATTGAGAAATTATTTCACAGATTTATTTTAAAAATCTAATATGCTAGACTCTTGCTAATCTGGCCACTCCTTGCCAGTATAGCATGAGTGTGGATTATATAGTGAGAGCATATACAGTAGTCCTAAAGCCTCCTCAAAGACAATAAATGATCTGATATGTTGCCTTTTGGTACTGATTCTTTTTGGAGGAAGGCAGAAACTAATATAGCACTCTGATATGCAATACCCTATACAAAAATGAAACCTGAATAAACAGGATTTACATGACTATATTTTTATGGAAATGAAATGCACAAACACTGGGATATTCCAAATAATTGAGATTCTGATCAGCAAGAATGTACTGTGTTTATTTGAGCAACATAAGAGAGCTGTAAACTATATTGTATTAGAAACTGAAATATGAATATTTCTACACTACTTGAATGAACCAGTCAGCTGTCAATTAGAATAGCCATGGTTTAAGTTGAAGCTATCATTTCAAAAATATTCCAATATTATTTTAACATACCCTTATTTTCCAGGACAAAAAAAACTGGAATAAAACATTTTATTTATATTTAGTTCAACACGTTAAAAGAATTAAAGTATGAGATATTTTAAAATGAAATGAGAATGTTATAACACAAAAGTCTGTATATTTTTTAAAAGCATTTTTAAGTCTTTTACATGTAAAATGCTTTTGATATTTATTGTAAGGCATGCTGTATATCTTACTCTTTTTCTTGAATTTTCAGGTGTTGAAGGTTAGTGTTGACCAACAGTTAATCAGACTTTAGCAATTTATTATTAACAATGTCTGTAGCTATTGTTTGTTTGGCATGTATTTTCTACTTTGAATATATGGTTTAATCAATGCTGCTTTGAATGCTTCTAAAAACAATATTCTTTTATCCAAAACAAAACTTTTAATTATAATTCATTTTAGCATGCAGTGCATATGCATTACACGCAAATTAATATATCACATTTGATAAATGATAATATGTTTCAATCAATATCATAAACATATAATAATTCTTGAAGTACAGTATCACCCAAATCTGACATTTCATTTTCTACATAAAAGAAACACTATTCCAAAATGAAAAAAATAATTATAAAAAATGTTCATTAAGAAGGGGAAATAAGCACATCTAGACAAGTATGGCAAGTGACTGAACTATGAAACAAGGAAATAAATTACTGTACAAGGTGTATGTGAAGTAAAATATACATGGATCATTTCAGACCCAAACAGTTAATTAATATTTTTTATTTTGATGCACATATATAAATTAAAAAATTAAATCAACATATATACTAATCACACTACACCTTACTTTTCCAGCACTATTTTAACTCTAAACGTGTCGAAAACGTTTAGTTTGATTAAAATAGTGCTGGAAAAGTGTGTAAGGTGTAGTGTGATTGGTATATTTCTTTCCAGTTTTTCTACAAGTGCTTTCTCAAGGTATATAGATTATTGCTAAATATAATGATGATGTGTATACTACATAATTTCAAATTTAATAAACAAATTTCATATTCATTTGAAATTTGGGTAGAGCTGTTCTTTGTAATCTTTCAAAGGTTAACTGGAAAACAATGTTTACGTATCACGTTTAACTTTTTTTTAAGATTCAAAATCAATTTAAAATCATTGACTGATAATATAAAAAATAAAAATTAAATAAAATGAATATTTCGAAATAAATAAAACAGAATACACATTGTATATATGACAAGAAATCTGTAAAGTTTTCAGACTAAAGAAATATTATTCAATAAAAAAATTATTACTGTATAATACATAGCGACTATAATAATCTCAAAAATACTGGAGTGCGAAAAAAACGACTGTTTTGTTATTACTGTACTATTAGCTTTAATAAAAAGTTATGTAAAACATTATATTACATTTTTCATCGATAAATATTTCTACATTGAAATTATTGAGACGTGTTTCTCAACTTTTTCTCATCGCGGACCGGTAAAATTATGGATAATTTTACACGGACCAGTAATTATTTGAGATTAAGAATTGTGTTAATCTATTACGTTTACATATGTTTATCTGGAGTTACTGTACGTAATAAAATATATAACAATAAATTACTATTTAAATGTCATCCGTAATCAACTGCGCCAGTGTCTATACGGTCAAATATTTTTCTGCTAACTGGTAAAATTTTTTCGCGGACCGGCAGTTGGGAAACACTGTTCTAGAGGACCGGAATCGAATCCGAATGAGCAATACTTCAAGAATTTTTATTGGCAGTTAGTTCCAAATATGTCGGATTTTGTCACTTACTACCGGCTATTCACTTTGTGGTCCTGGCCGAATCCATAAAGAATGCGGAAAAAGGCCCTTGGAGTCACAGAAGGGAAAGAGTTAAAAATGGAAAAAATAAAATCTTGAAACTCGGTTTTGTCCTCGTTTGGGTAAACTTAACTTTTCGACTGGAACAGTAGCATAATCGCCTCGGCCATCCGATCGTCGAGAATTTTAAAACTATCACGCTTTGGACGGCCAGATGTCCGGGACGATAAAGGCGCCAGCCTACCGTCTATTTTCTGCTTCGATTCTAGGAGCCACATTTTTCATAGGTAGTCGGTCTTGGATATACTGGTTTCAGTTCTTTAACAGCTGGCCACCTCGATTCTGGGCCCGATCGAATTCATAATGCAAATTTTTTGTTCTTTCCGCTCAGTAGGAACTAAGAAGGCCTTTTTTTTCAGACGCATTATGGGTTTGGCCAGGTACATAATGGGACATCTGCGTGATGAAAAACGGGGACCGACATCCAGATCAAACCATTTCCAGAAAAATTTCTGGAGGTTTTTGACCATCCGGATTCGAACCCGAGTCCTCCAGAGCTGTGGCTGTTTGAATTGCCTTAGCCATCCGGTTGGCTCATGATGAGAATGTTTAAAAGTATCGTCTTAGTATCTGGAGGACGGGAATAGTGAAAACAACTTTAGAAAAAGGTGTTCATGTTTATATTCAAACAGTAAAACTCTAACATTCAAAATTCAGTTTCAATATCATTACTGTATTTATAAATCTCTCATGAAGTAAAAAAATACAATCCGCGCCTTCTATTTTAGAGTATTCAAATAAAAAAAATTACTACAGTAATGGATTAATATAATGTATATTTAAAGATAGATAATAAATTCTTTGTATTGACTTCAAAACAACAATAATTTTAATAAAACAATCACTTATATACGATTTGCCTTTTAATATTTAAAGAACCCATGGCTTAATGTATTTTAATTTAATTATACCAAAATAAAAGTAACAGAAAATTTAAAATAATTATAACAAATTAAATTTGAAATATTTATATAATATATATATATTTTTTTTATATGAAAACTTTGAATTTCGAGTTCCGATATTGATGGATAGCCTCGTGCTCTCGCAAATCGAGTGAATTTGCGAGATTTTCTCAACGATGTATACGGCGCCATGTTTATGGAAAAATTAAGAAAAAGTTTAGTTTGTTCACTCTCTGAAGACGAATTTATAATTGTAATGTGAATAACGCATCTGTCCATCAAGAGTATTCGTATATGCAGAAATAAATAAACTTAAACAACAGTCATTTTAAGAAGAGGTTAGTCAATTGTACAAATAATTTGAATCGTATGAAAAATTCAAATTTGGTTTCGGTTTTTCTGTTGATATTTTAAACAAATTCTATTAACAAAAATTAACTTCCGAAATATAAATTATAAGTTTGTAATTGGATGTTTAAATATGTATAAAAGCACGAGTGAAATTGATTGTTTATTAAGTATAAACAATCAATTTCACTTCTATCTCTTCCATGTGGTTGACATTCGTTCTGCCAAATTTAGATTTGTTCGTTCGTCTAAACATCGGTTTCAAGTCATATTTTGATTATTTTCAAGCGGATATATTAAAATATATTGCAAGTACTTGTTGACAAATGTTAAAAATAATTTTTTAAATATGTTGAAATATAAATAATGTAAATAATCCACAAAATTTTTTTTTTATCTTGTCTTGCTATATGATGAATTTGCTTAATTCATTACAGTTTAGAAATAATTTTATAAATTAATACTTTAATATGATTATTCTGATATTTTCAGCCTTGAGATGTAGTTTTACTATTAAAATGTAATTGACTATATAAGCATAAAATATATGAATTATTAATGTTCATTAAACTCATGAAAATGTTAAGAATTGCATATATATATATATTTTTTTTTTTGTTAAAATGTCACATTCAAAAGTTTAAGAAATTTTTTCTTTTATCAGTTTATTTGTGGAAAGTTATGCTCTTACATCTCAATTAATGTAAAGTGAAAATTTGTTTTGAAGTTTTTTTTTTTTTTTTGTCTCTAGAAAACTATTTGATGCTTACTGCTTACCAAGAAATTATAGAGTGAGACTAAAACAGGTCTTGTCAGGATTTGTGTGATTGAAGTCAGTGAATTGTGAATATGCTATTCAGTGAATAAGATTTTATTTTTGCATCTGATAACTGCTTTCGACAATCACTCTTATTCTATCAAGAGTCTCGGAGCTACTGATAATATAATGATGAAATGTAGCATGCATATAATTGGATATTACAAAATATAAGAGGGGGAGAAAAAAACTATTTTAGGAGATATGTTTTAGTGAATTTAAGTTAATTTATTTCTCAGTTTAAAAATGTTTATTTTTTTTTTTACAAATAGATCTTCCTATTATTATTATAAATTTAGATATTGACATAATATGGTTGATTGTGATTATTATAGTAATTAATCAGTACTAGGATGTCAAATTGTTAGTGTTTTTAATAGTAAATATATAATAGTTAATTAATTTCTGGTAATTATTTTAGTAGTTTAGTTTTCTTTTTGTTTTATAATAGTAGGATCTAATCATTATATTGTGCATTTACAAATTAAAAGCTAAATTAAATAGCTTTGGTACTTTGAATGATGATAAAAATTTAAGTGATGCTAGTAATAATATGCATAACGTACTAAATTTTTTTTGTTTTTTTTGAAAGTTGATTGCAAAATAATGTCAATGAACACCAGTAAAATTGATTAAGAAATTTAGTTTGGTTATTCTACTTTATTAAAAATAAAGACTTGTAATAAACAACTCAAACATTTTTGACACATCAAAATTGCTAAAGTTATTTATTAACTGTTTATTCTCAATAAAGTAATGCCATAAAATTGAATTTCTTAACTGATCAAAGTTTGTTATTTCATATATTTAAAATTCAATTTATGATGTCTCCAGTTAGTCATTATTATTAAGAGTCCAGAAGATATCTTTACAGTCTCCATTTATCTTTTTAACATAAAGAAATTAGCATTTATACCATTATCTAAATAGGATTATTTATTCTTAATGGTGATTGTAGAGCTACAGGTATCAGTAAAATTGCTCTTTATTTCAATTTTCAAGGGAATAATGTTTGAAGATGACCAAAAAATCAAAAGAACTTTATTTTGGTGAGTGGCAAAAGCAATCTATAAATTATCTTTGAAAGAACAGATATTCCTCTCACAATACGGTACTTCTACAACAAGGTTTTTTCTAACACTGTTTGAAAATTGGAGATATCCCCTGTACAACACAACTTCTGGTTTCGCTCTAACATGGTTTTGGAAATTCTCCGTACAAAATTTCACAATTTTTTAGTGTAACCTTTGATATATTTTTTTTATTCAAGTAAGCATGTGTGATGTCTCAAATTTGTCCATGGATTTTAGAATATTTAAATTTTCAAATTATTTTGTGCTTTTCGTCAGTTTACTTTAATGAAAACTGATAGGACAAGGAAGAAAAATTTGCTCTAACTTTCCTATCAACCAGGTGTCGTTGTCATTCAGACTTTAGCCTTTAAGATTGTCATTGTGTTTTCTTTTTATAGATTATTATTCATATTTAGTAAATTTTATTTAAACATTTTTAGGTAAGATATTAAACTTTTTTCTAACTGTAGGTAAGCAATCATTTGTAAACTGACAAACGAAATATGGCAATATCTTGGTATTGTTCAATATTCGAGCACAAATTCTGGAAAAAAGTATCTTGGTAAGCTACTTGACTGAACAAACATGACTTGCTAGAACAGGGGTGTCCAACCTTTTTGTTCCTCTGGGCCACATTGGAAGAAGTCATGGCGTTTTGGGCCACAAGTATATATAATATATTTGCGACCTAAGATTAGCATGTCTAGATTATAGTAATAAGTATTAAAACTTTTTTATGGAAAAGGATATTTTAAAAGATTACTTCTACAAACACTTTCAATTTTTACTTAGAAATAGATAAACTCATTTATTATAAAGGAGACAGACAAAAATTTATTTGAAAAAAACAAATATTTGTTTTATTTCAGTCTCTAATTAATAAAAAAAACGACGAAACATCATTTTAATTCATTAATTAAAGTGCATTTTTATTCGACTATATATTTATAAATAATATGTAGCCCAGAAAGTAGCCAATGCGCCAAATGATAATTTTTATGCCAAACTAAAAAAAGAGTAGCCAAATTTGGCGCAAAGTAGCCAAATCTTGCAATGCTAGAAGCAATACTATATAAAGCTGGAGTTGTGACTCAAAGGATTATAGACCCAAATTTGAGAAAAGGAAAGAAAGGTCAAAAGATAAAAAGTATTGAGGAAGGTTGGAAATTAAGGGTCAATATTTGCATAACAGAAGATCTATTTAACCTTTTTATCTTTTGGCTTTCTCTCCTTTTCTTAAATTTGGGTCTATAATCCCTTGAGTCACAACTCCAGCTTTATATAGTATTCCTTTGTCATTCACACATCTTCAAGTATTTGAAAATATTTCCTTTTCACTCAAAAGTAAAATATGTATAAAAGTTTATGGCTTTGTGAACCTTCTTTTTTGAGTTTATGCCATTGAAATAAAAAAATAAATAAAATAAAACAATTTGTCAGTTTTGTTTACACACGTTTATTGGGCCGCATTCAAACTTGCCTTGGGTTGCATGCGGCCTGCGGGTTGGACACCCCTGGTTTAAACGATTAGCAAATCTTACATTTNCAACTAATTTAGCAGTATGAGATATATCTACATAAAAATATATTTATAAAAAGTAATTATTTAATATATATTTTTGATAGCTTCAATGATACTATATACATATATACAGTGTGTCCCAAAAATCTGGACCATAGACATTTTTTTCCTCTTTATGAAAATAATTTTTTTTTTCATTTGAGATCCAAGATGGCTTTGAAACTACCAACAGGCCTCTTAAGTCTCCAGATAATCCCAAAAAAAAATATTGAGTGGTAATAATAATTGCACTAAAGGAGGTAATCTCCTCTACACGTAAGAAAATCACTTCTACTACAATAAGAAATGTGTTTATGCTGAATACAAGAACATTAAACAAGTGTCCAAGATATTCAAATTTAAAGTTTTATTATAATGAATGCTCAAATACATCTATGATTATAGATCCAAACTTTTGGGACACCCTGTATCTCTCTCAAACGATTTCATGTGTCAAAATTAAACTTTTTCATATGTAGAACCACCTATTTTCAGAGAATTTTCTTATTTTTCAATTGATCTTTAAGCATATTTTGCTATGAAATCCTGCCAATTGACAGATACCAGAAACTAAATATATTTAGTAAGTCAATTCAGTTATTGGGTAACAGACTATTTTTCTCCAAACCTGTTCACGTCAACATAAAAAAAAAAGACCTTTAGCAATCCTATTTTAAAACTAAATATTTTAAACTGTTCACATAAATAAGAATTTCAATTCATAAAAAAATTTTTATGATAAAAATAAAAAAATATGAAAATGCTGTTGATACTTCTGATCAAGATCAGCAAAAAGCTGAGATAATGACAATTTTTTGTAAAAAGAAAATGTCCTTGTTTAACTAAAATTATAGTATTTTTAATTGTGATTGTTAATTAATTATTGATTGGAAATAAATTATCAATTGCTTTAATAAACACATTAAAGCAATTAATAGTAACTCTTAGTAATGAAAAAGAATAGTATACTTTTGCTAACTTCTAGAATGTAATCCCATGTCTTGTATTAGTCTTTTGTTTTATATAGCATGGGTTTGCATAACAGCACTTTTTTGGAACATAACTACCATGTTATATGAGGGATACCTGTATTCCAATTTTTAATATTGTCTCAATATTGTACTCCATTCTTGATAGATATTCTATTACTACAATAGTGTGATTTAGAATTAATTTCATTTAGATAAAAGTCAACAATCAATGAACAACTGGTATACTATTGAAGTTGCTACTTTAAAAATATATACAGTAGAACCTTGATTATACGGACCGCTATTATCCGGATTTTCGATTATCCGGATTGTTAAAAATAAACAAAAATTTTATGAATTTGCTGATTTGCACTTGGTGAATTACGATACTGTTTATGTACGTGATGGAATCATAACTTTTTTTGTTTCAACGTCTCACCCGGCACAGTGGCCATAAACTCTTAAATATATTTTGCGTCGTAATAAAAATATAATTTGATATACGTATTTATAAATAATTTTATTTTCAAATTACATCATTTCTATGACCAAGGGTGGTGTAAGGCAT